AGAGAGTGAGAGAGGGAGGAGGCAGACAAAAGAGACAGTTACTGTGTTCAAAAAGTCTTTTTCTGGAAATGGAGATATATTAAAAAGTAATTATAATATGTGTTAGAATAGATATTAATTGAACACATATCACAGTCCAGATAATATGCTGAATGCTTTTCCTTTCCTCAGTATAGTATCTCTGTGAATTAGTATTATTCCACCCCCTGTACCATTTTACACCTGAAGAAATGAGCTCAGAAATGGTTAAGTGATAGTCCAGGAGCACACAGCTAGTAAGTAGGCAGCCGAGATTCAGAAATCAGCCTTCTCACTGAGCACCAGTTCTCTCCCTGCCTTGTTTGAGAGTACTGAAGCTTGAACTATGTAACCAGTTTGTTTTTCTCTCCTAGTGATTGGAGTGTTTTTAGGGTGAGAAAATCTAATTGTCTGGTGGAGAAGGCTACTGAGATCCTTGGCCAGGGAAGAATTGGAATTGCAGTTTCAGAGATTCCACAAGTTCTTAGTCCACAGTAATGACAGGCTAGAGAAAACTGTAGTGAGTGAGTGGGTCAGGCTGCCAGATGGAGATCCAAGGACAGTTTGAGTTCCCTTCCCACTGTGGCTTCAGTTCTACAAAGGTGACTGTTGATGAGAAATAGGATTTGAAGTATTTTTCTGTACCCTGCCAAGAACTAATAAAAACTATGCTGAAGGACTTCGCAGAGTAGCGTGGGACATGATTGGTTTAATCTGGTACATCAAAAGCAGAGTTGAAGGGCAGACTTTCAGAACAATAACCAGACCACAGCTTAGATTGGTCGTGAAAGGCATGGATTTCCGGCATAAAAACTGGAGTTTCTAGTAGCAGCTGAGAGTCCTCCCATATGGTCCTTTATTGCTAAGGAATTGCATGCTTCAGGTTTGCAGGGTACACTGGGGATAGAAAACACATTTCCTTGAAGTGGCTATAGGGTCTTACACTGGTCCTGTTCCTCTCTGTATCTTAGCTTCTCTATAAAGCGAGGCAGGATTGGATGATGTGTTGGTTTGGGGCGGCTTATTTTGCAAGGGGAACAACATAATACAGGACACATACTTTATATGATTATTTATAAGTCACCCAAAG